GTTACAAAATTTTTAAAAATCAGAAAATCTAAATAAAAACAACTGGGAAAAAGAGCTACAAAAAAAAAAAAAAAAAAAACTATAAATATTGAAGTTAAAAAATACATCCTAGGTTGCATTTCCAATTTTCTCTCCAAAGCAGATAAACCAGTTTTTAAACAAACAAGACACACTTCTAAAACAGGAAAAACTACTATATATAGATGAGCCATTTAGGTTTGCCATGTCTGATAGTGATCTGTCATAATTAAGAAGTAGTCTGTCATAGTTAAAGAGTTAGGAATTTTACAAAGCAATCAAGTTGATGTGTGACCAATCAATTTCAAGACAGAAAAAAAAGATTGAGTGATCATTTTTCTGTGGGTTCCATCAGTATTAAACATCTTTAAATCTGCAAATGGTGATAATCAGTAACCACTCTCACCAAATTATCCCTCTACATGTTAAGCCACAATATTTAGTTTTAACAAATTTTGCTCAGTGTCTCAGCCACTTTGCACTTTAGATACTCAATGGACTTTTAATAAGAAGAACTGCAATGACAAAAAAAAAAAAAAAAAAAGGGTCACAGCGCCATATAGTGCCCTGAAATGGCTACTACAGCAGATGCAGATATTAAACGTGGAACTTTTCCCCAATCAACAACCAAAAATACTGACGGTTTCCAGACATGCATGTAAACAAAGCCCAAGTTTCTCCTTTGGGTTTTAACTCTCTAAACCCCTGATTTTACCTTCTTCCTCCTCACAAGATAAATTAAATGGCCTCAAAGTTTAATTTCAAGAACTAAAAGTCAAGCTTAGGACTTTAACTATCACAATGTGTTTTCTGCAACCAGTGTAATATGCACTGCCGCCCAGGATCAGTCTTCTGCAGTCCTCAGCTGTGGTCTCAACTATTTTGTTCCCAATTTTTAATCCTCATCTAAATGGATATAACAAGTACCAAAGGAAAAAAAAAGTCATGAAAATGAATAAATATCTCTGTACCCTGCTGCTTTCTGACATATCTCTATGTCATCCGGCAGAGCCAGCAGCTCCTGGTGGTTCGCCTCTGCTTCCTTTGGAAAACAAGACGCAAAGTGGGTAATTAAACATGTTCATGACTGATTGAGAGGGAAATAAGTCTGGACAGCTGCTAGCCTGTATGTATACCTCCAGGATGTGATGAAGCAGCGTGATACGGCTCTTGTTGGCCTTCGTCTCCGTTAACTTGAGCAGAGAGCTGATCTTAAAACCCTCAGCATTTCCTGTGTGACTTCCCTGAAAGTAGATTGGCAATTTAAAAAAAATGCACACGATGACTAAATATCACCTCAAGTAAATGCATAAAAGAGTGTAGGGGGTTGTTACATAGTTGAGAAAATTTCCAACATCGAGGATGAGTCTGCAGAAACTGGGCAGCAACGTGCTCATCTGGAGAGCTGGGGGAAAAAAAAAAAAAAGTGTTACATACAGTTTAAGCATTTCAACTGACATGCACTGCCAGTGTACTTACACTGGCAGGCCTCCTCGACAAGCTTCACTTTAGGCCTGAGCATCTCCAGCAGTGATGTCGTCTCCTCACACAGCAACATGCATTCAATTCTGAGCTGATAACTGAGGACATGGACAGGAAAACGTGTAAAGTAGAGGTGCGTCACAATCATTGAAATTACCAGAACATTCATCCATTTCAGCAGCCGGATTCAAACAGTGAAACTCCTGTACATCAGTATTTTGATTCCATCTTGCAGCTGATGGAAACAAATTTTGTCTCTGACAATTTGATTACATAAGTGCAATTAAAAAAAAAAAGACTTATGAGATATGCTGTACAACTGGGTTGTGCAAGGAGTTTTCTGGGGGCCATTTGCCGTCTCTGAACTTATTGTTCTGCAGCCCTGAACTGCAATTCAGGAACGATTCAAATTTTACCCACCAACACAGAGGGAGACTTTATTTTTGACTAGGGCAAAATTATAGACAAATTAAAAATATTACAAAAGTGGATGCATTTCTTAATATTTTCCCATAACTTCAAAGGGAGTAGGGCCACAGCTATCCAGCAAGTGTTATTGCTAAAAATCAGACTATTTACATGTTAATCTCCTGCAAAAAAAACATTAAATACACTTAACGCATCATTGAGCAGTGTAAAATGTAGCTGCATGTGGGCCAAAAAAAAAAAAAAAATTACAAAAATTACTGTTTATTTCTTTGTTGGTACCTCATAAAATATTCAAATTTTCAGAAAAACAGAATTTTGAGTTTCCATTTGCTTTGAGCCACAAGCATAAAAAAACACTTGAAATATTTGAACATACAATATATACTGAATATACAAGTTTCACTTTGTTTTAATCAATTCCTGGATTAAAACCTTTCGACGGCATTAAGACGTGCACGTATCCAACCACACATGATGTTTGAAATCAAGCTGAGGCAATCTAAAAATGTGCGGAAAAGCTAGAAATAAAGCTGAAATTTACCATGGCATATTAAGCAGGGAGGTGTAAAAGCGATCAACATTCGCCAGCTTGTCTTTTTCTCCTTGGAAGGACTTCAAATTCTCAATCTACGCCAAAAATACATAAGGAATAAAACTTCAAAAATAGGTAATGAGTTAGCAGACAGGTGTGCCAAATCTATTTGAGTAAAGACTGCAACAAACCTCATGCTTCTCTGGTAGGAGCTTCATAAGCTGTTTTAGCACCTCTACATCAAACCTGCTTCGGTCTCCCGTCTGGATCATGGCTATAAACTCCTCATTTGTGCTGAGCATAAAAAAACAAAAACAAGTAAGATACTTATAGAAATATAGCATGATGCATAATAGGTTTTTTTAGACAATTGAGAGTAAAATCTCACCATTTAAACTGCTTCAGGAATATGTTCATATTCAAGTTTTTCTTTGGATCAATGAATGTTATCTATAGAACACATAGAAGAGACAAAGATCAATGCGTTTTTAATCAATGCTGACAAAAAACACGCGTGCGTTCTGTCTGAAGTAGTGTTTCTGAAGTGCTCACCTCTTTGGGCTCCTTCTTCACAGGAGCAGCTGCTCCCTTGTCTTTGGGCTCGGTGACCGGCAGACAGAAGAGCTCCTCGATGCTGCCGTAGTCTGGCTCATGAGGAGGCGGTTCTTTCTGAACCGACGCCCACATGGACTGACCATCTGCGCTCATGGAGGGGAAGAGAAAAAAAAAGAGAACGGAAACCTGATTTAGGATCATTAGGATTAATGTTATACTCAAATATTGGTTTGCAAAAATGCAGTCTTTCTGGAAATTAAACAAGGATTAAAAGAAGAAATTGTTTATTTTGATGAATCCTTCATTGGCATCAGTTTGGGGGTGGCATTCAGTTTCTATGCACCATGAAACAGGAACAAACTTTCAGAAAACTACAAAGACGCTGAAATGCTTAATCACTTTAAATCAAGGAAAACCCACAACCCACCTGTTTCCATAACAAAATGTAATATTTACTGCTTGTTTCATAATTTGTTAAAGTAATATGTTTTTAATGGTACAAATCATTTTGAACATCTTTGTTGCTGAAATGAGCTATACAAAAAAAACTTGACTTAAAGATCAGATACAAAAGAGTCCACATCTTCAATTGAATTTTCAATCATTTTAATTGCATACAATCCTTAAGTCTCTTTAGAAACTACTGGAATTACACAACTGTCAATTCTTCATCTGTGAAAACAGTGAAGTCTGGAATAAAGTTTTTTGGGTTTTTTTAAGTTAGTGTTTCCATCATTTTGCACTGCAAAACAATTATGAAAGTAAAAGGCAAACCCATGTGAAATGCATTTTTACATGGGTAAAATGTAAAATGCATTTTTACATGGGTAAAATGTAAAATGCATTTTTACATGGGTAAAATGTAAAATGCATTTTTACATTTCCAGAAACTCCAGAGTTTCTGGAAGAAAAAGAGTTTGGGAGTTTACAAAATAAGGAATTCAAATTGTTCTAGGGATTTCCCTGAGGTTCTGGGCATGATGGAACAAGTCAAAGATGCACCGATAAGGCCTAACCTTATGCCCCCCCGCCTAGTAGTGTGTAATCTCTGTTACTGATATCAATACAGCCCTGACCAGTTGAGGCAGAGACTCCGTTAGACCTCTGATGGTGTCCTGTGGCAGCAGAGGTCTGGAGTCCATTGAATACACCACATCATCAAGATGCTTTAAAGGATTGAGATGTGGGGAATTTAGAGGCCTCGTGAAAATATTAAGGTTGTTGTGCTGCTCCTCAAACGAAACAGGCAACTTTTTTTTTTACCTTTTGGCAGTGGCATTCAAGTAAAAGAGATAGCAGCCATCAGGGAATACGTTTAGCTGAACAGGGGTATAGCATGTCAGCAGCAACCCTTAGGTTGTTGGTTAGTGTCACAGGAAAATCCTTTGAAGGAAGCCCCTAAGCTTGCAAATGCCATATAAACGGCAGGCTGAAAAACAAACAAGTCTTGCGGTTCTATTGCATTTAGAAGGAGTTTATTTTTGAAAACGTTCACGCCGACGTTAAACACCCGAGTCCGAGTTAATCTTAAGATGTACGAGAATGCAATGACGACTTGCCTGCGACAGAGCGAAGTTTCTGCCAGTTGAGCTTCTTCATCTTCAGAGTGGGGCATCTGCTTGGCTTTGACGGGGTACTGGAGCCCAGGATCTGGCTACTCTGAGGCACAATCATCCCCGGCGGAGGAGGTGGAGGCGGAGGCATCCCGGGTAACGGAGGAGGAGGTGGTGGTGCACCACCCATTCCTGGTAATGGTGGCGGAGGGGGAGGCATGCCCGGACCACATGGTAGTGGTGGGGGTGGAGGAGGCATTCCAGGCAGTGGAGGGGGTGGCGGTGGAGGAGGCGGCCCACCCAACCCTCCAGGTAGCGGCGGTGGAGGTGGAGGTGGTGGCGGTGGAGGAGAGGCACACAGAGGCTTCTGAGTGGATGCTGTGTTGGTGTCCTGCTCATCTCCATCCTCCTGATCCAGACCGGTCTGCACAGCCTTGTCTGCCTTCAGCACAAGCCCGTCTATTTCATGGTGGCCTTCGCAGCTCCTCCCCTTGAAGAACATCAGCCGCTGCATGATCTTCTCACAGGACTCCATCTGGGCTGGAGCACACAAACGCACACAGCAACGAACGACACTTAAAAGCATTTCTCACGCAACAACAAAAGCTTTCAGCCTCGCTTTAACGATGCACTTAAATCCGTCTTCCTGGGTAAATGCTCGCCTTCGCACGTTAATCATGCTATTAGCCTCCTTTGAGTGTCGTCTTTAATGAATGTGTTGCCGTTGCAGTGCTGACTCACAATCCTGAGCGAGGAGTATGGCTCTGTTGGTGATGGACTCCAGAGCCAGCCAGATGTCGGTTCGGCTCGGCCCGAGCAACAGAGCGGACTGCAGGATGGAGAGCAGCTGGAGGGAGGCTGGAGAGCTGCTCATCTGCACACACATACGAGTTGGACATGGGAGAAAAATCCTCATGGATAAAATCTGAAACCTGCAACTTTGCAGCCGCTTCACATACTTCTCTGAATATGGAAAGGACACAATTGCTCTTGTTCCATTAATCCAAGTGTTTTTGTTCCCATTGCAAATGGTTAGATTTTGTTTTGTTTGAAAATATGACATCTCTAAAAAGAATATTTTGATGTAATGATGACAGATTATTTCCTAGGAAAAGATAATTCCTCTTTAAGTTTAAAAAAAAAAGGAAAAAGATATTTTGCTCCCAAATCAGTTTTTTCTCTCCATGTTTTCTNTCTGCTGTTCTGGTACAAACCAATTAGAAACTGCAATGAAGTTTGTCCTTCGGAGCTGCAATGTTTCTAACAATAAGAGTTCAATATTCGATTAATAATTGGGCTTACAAGCGGTACTTTAACACATCATCTACACTGCCCCGAATGAAACCGAAGCCTGTATTTATTCACTTTCTACTTAATTGGATAACGCCAGCCGTTTGCTGCACTCACCTTGTTGAAGAGTGCGGTGAACACCTCTTGGTGATTGCTCATATCGATGCCTCCGTACACTCGCAGCAGCTCCTCCTCATCTTCCGCCATTGCCTCCTCGAAAGCTTCACATTGAATAATCAAGTCTTCGTCCTCTTGATCCCTAAAAACCAAATATTGTAGAGTGAAATCAGTTTAATTCAAGCTCTAAATCTCTGTCTCCAATCCAAAGCTAAAATTTAAAATATCTCAGTAAAGCACCCCGGGATTTTTGTGGTTTAGAAGCTCATAAAAAACATGGTTCAACTTTGTTATTCTTTGTTTTACCAAATACTGCAGTATGCACAGGTATGTTAAAAGAAATTAACACATAAAGAGAACTGTATAAAAATGGTCTTTTTATACAGTTTATTATGAGCCTGTGTGATTAGTTTACATTTATGATTTTCACTTAAAAATAAAAAAATATTTCAGATAGATGACTAACTTTTAGAAAATAGTACAGTAAACACATTCTGAGAACACATGCAATTATTTTCAAGACTTATCCTGTTAAAAATAATATTCCATATCTTCTGTACCTCTGCAGATCGCAGGGAATCAGTTAAAAACATTTTAATGAGGCAGAGGTGAAAGTGTTTAAACAGCCTTCTTGACTGCTAAAGCCTATGCAGCTAACCTTCTTTTCTCCATATTTGTCCTGCAAATTATTATGCGAGTATTTCTCCAAGTACCATTAGAGGCAGATCAAGCAGTACCTGCAGCCTGTTAATCACTTTGATAAAATAAACTGCATGCATTTTATTAATAGAGAGATAGAGAGAAAGAGGACAAGACAGCAGGCTTACCTTAATTTTGGCAGATTGTCAAGTAACTGGAGGCCTGCAAAAACAAACAGTAAAAAAAAAAAAAAAAGCTCAAACTATCACAACATTCATATTTTAGATTTTTTCTAAGGTTATCTTAATCCTTCAGCACTTGGGTGCTGTTAGTTCGGCATCAATGTCCGGAGATCCCAGGTGAGCAATCATATAGTAGGAGGGGTCAATCAGGTGGCTAATTGCTTTTGATGTGGTGGGAGCTGACATGTTTGTTTAGCTGCAGCTCCCTTGTCTGCCACACTGATTTCTGGGTGCTGATCCTATGGGGGAGCAATGTGTGTTTCTTAAGGCTCAGATTTCCAGATGGCACCTCATCTTAAAGACATGATTAAACTCTTAAATTAGTTTGATCCATCCATCCAAGACCGATGGCAGTTTCTCAGGCACGAGCTGTGCTGCTAAACTTGTGAAAACAGAATGTTGCACACACTTAGTTCTCAGGCGTTTTGTGTGAGAATTAGGCCATTGGACCTATTCTTAGCTGGAGACGCAGTGGCAAAGAAATGTGTTACAAAGCTAACGCCGCTGACCTTCTGCGTCCACGGGCAAAACATTACGATCACCTTGTTCGTAAACTGAACAACTTACCGATGAACTCCTTTCTGATTTTATCTCTCTGTCTCAGGTCATCTGTGCTAAAGATGAGCGCGTTGATGACACTGAGGAGTGTGACCATGTATGGGACGTTATCTGTGCCCTGCAGCTCGTTCATGATGACGCTGAAGCGATACTGCTGTGTCTTCAAGCCCTGGAAGAGGGAGAATCGGACATGAGTGAGGAACCAGTTAGCTAGCGCCAGCTCCAAAGCAGGTGAGCATGTGGAAGATGCAGCCATTCTGCTTGCCTTGTAATGATCCAGAGCATCCAGAGCCAGGCGGTGACCTTCTGCAGAGAAGATGCTGAGGGCGGCGAGGAGCTCAAACACCTGCTTCTTCACCATGATGTTCGAGGTGTCCAAGGCTGCAGAATATTTGTATTGTCAAGTTAAGTTCTCACACTTTTGGTTTGGTAAATAATTTTTTTTTTCTGCCTCATTACTCTAATTATTGTCTTAAGTTCAAGCAGGATGCGTTGTCTCGCTGTCTTTGAGATTACTCAAACTGAACTTTGCAACCCATGTGGCATTTTGCCTCAGATAAGAGTCCAATATTTACAGTGGTCTGAGAATGTCCTGAAACATTGCTCTGTACAGTGTCTTCCAACTTCACTCTACTGGAAGGGAACAATTGTTCATTTGCAAAATAAATTAAAAAAAATCAATACTAATCCATTTTTTGATCTGATACACTTATTTATATGTGAAGAAGACACCTCATTAGAAAATTGTGTAATATTTTCTTATTATCGAGAAAAAAACAGCTGTTGACCTTAAATGGTTCCTAGAAAATATTACAGCATCTAAGGAACATTGAAAATCGCTTAAACATGAATTTAAAGCAGGAACAAAATAGAAAGCAATGCCTCAAGGTTTGAACACCTGAAAATGCATAGAAATTGGTATAACTGCAAACCAAAATGGTAACTATGAAGGAGCTGGAGAGATTTATGGCTCAGGAGACAAAAGACAGTTATTCATGATTTACTCCATAAATCTGACTAAATCTGCCACTGTTGAAAGAAAATCAGAAGATGTACTTTGTGCGGTTTGGCTAAAGCCATGTGTGGGTGGAGGGCTGAGGCAGATGTGTGAAAGAATCTCCTCTGGTCACATGACAAAGCAACATTTTGTAAAATAAATGCAAAATAACATGAACTCTGAACAGACGGTTACCATGGTGAAGCATGGTGATGGCAGCATCATGCTGTGCAGATGCTTTTCATCAGCCGGGATAGTGAAGTTAAAGTCGAAGGGAAGATGGTTGCAAATAAACGGGGCATTCTTTGACCTTTAGCTATTTCGTAGAAAGTCCAGAGTAGGACGTCTAAAGTTGCTCGGTAAAAACGAACACAAATCTTTTCAGCTATTTTGCCAATAAAGATTCAGAAATCCTAAATAAATATTTCTGTGCACCATGTGAAATCTCTGTTAAACACATTGAGGTTTATGGTTTTAGCGTGACAAAAAGAGGAAGAGTTTGAGGGGTATGAACGTTTTTGCAAGGCAGTGAGTGCATGACAGGAAACTTCGGCTCAGCAGGATGAGTCACAGAGAATCCCTTCATCTTGTGGGTTATGACCAACACAACAAACATTATATAAGATTGGAAAGGGGTGATTAACTGTCCCTCGGTTTCTTTTTTTTAAATTAACTCAAAACTATGAAGTGGAGCACGTGCTTGAACGAGGCGTCTGAGACATGAACACATGTCAACGAGAAAAGCTTGTTGAACCCACCTTGCGAGAGCTTCCTAATGTAGCCCTCATTCTCGATGATGAAGTGAATCCCCGCTGACGAGTTCATCACGGCTCGGACGCAGCTGACGCACGTGAGCTGCAGCAAGGCGTCGGCGATGCGGGAGCACCCGCGGCCCGAGAGCCGGTCCAGGGCCTCCAGGAGCAGATCCAGCCCGCTCAGCTCCAGAAACTGCACCATCCATGTCTGGTCGCTGCCTTCCAGGCGACGCTTCAGGCCCGAGTAGTTTACCACGGTGGGAACCTGCAGCAGCCTGATGCACAGCTCGGGGTCGGCGCTCTCCAGGTTGGCCTCCTGCTGCGTGTCGGAGTCCTGAGAGGAGCCCAGGCGATCCCTGACCGCTGCCCACTTCTTTTTCCCATCGGACATCCCTGACATGGTGCTTGGCTGACCTGCAGGGCAGAGCGATGAAAAGCATTAAATTTTTTGTCAGTAAAAGAGGACGAAAATCCACATTTCCTTTCAACTATTCTTTAGAAGCGATGACAGGTTATTTTAGACGGCTAAAAGGGCCTGCCAGGGACTGATATCCAAGAACCATGGCTGCTATATATACAGTGCAGTCACATCTATCTAAACAAGAGGAAGCAGGCTGACAGACGGCCTTATCGGAGGGAATAGAGAACGGGAAACGGCAAGTCTGCACTTTGTGGATGAGCAAAAGATATGTCAGCAGTACAGTCATCAGAAGCTCTGCCAAACATTCCAGCTTAATCTCACAGTAAGCTCAACTCAGAGAGTTTGCGTTTTAATCCATAAAAGACAGCGGCACGCAACAATTTGGTCCCTTTGGAACAAGACTTCTGTCACTTTAAATAATCTATGAGAAAACAGGGATCGTTTATAAGCTAGAGGAGAAAGAAAGAGAAAATTCAAACCTTCACTTCAACATTTTAACAAAGATGAGTACATGTTATTCTTCTTTTGTATAATAATAAAAAAACAACTCAAAAGAACACCAGGCGAAGCAAACAAAGGGTGAAGTTAAACCAAAGTTTTTCCTAAAGCTTTTACTGTCTGTTACGTAAGAAGGAAATGGCAGTGAACAGGAACGGGAAGGTCATGATGAATGGAGATCCAAAGCATCCTGAAACTCATGACTGCCTGTAGAGCAACCGATCCAGGATTGTTGGGAAGAGCTGTGAACTGGGGCTGCTCTGTTTTTCCCAACAGCACAAATATCATCTTCAAGGATGAGCCATCTGAAGGAAAAACTTTGCTGTGAACTAAACTTCTTCTGCTATATGAAAAGACTGGAAATCCCCACAAACAAGCCAGCCTTAAACGAAGCGCTTATAAACTGTGCTTTTTAAAGATGTTACTGCCGTCCATGGAAAGATGGAATGAGGATGATTTCTAAAAATGTAAATTTTCAATTGGTCCACAATGAGTTTTGATGATGTGAAAATGCTTTGTTTCATTATGCAATTGAAAACTCATACAGTATCTAGAGATATTCACGCAGAGTGTTATATTTCAAGCGTTTATATCTCATTTTTGATTATATTTCCAAAAATAATGCGGAAGACTTGACAGTTGGCCTGCAGACAGTCAAGTCTCCACAAACAACTCGGCTAACCATGCTGCTGACTTAGCTGAGATCCCTCTCTGTGGGAGGGTTAGCTACAAACGGTTTCTGCTGAAAAAGGTGAATGTTCAGAGCGCTTTATCCAAACATATCAACAAGAAGTTAAGTGAGAGGAGTGTGGTAATAAAGAGATGAGGATGTGATACTACATACCCATGAATTCAGAGAAGTTGAGGCCTGGCATTAAAGTAATGTGGGCTTCCTTTACCACTCAGTGGTGCCATGTGCTGATTATTTATATACCATGATGCCAAGCATTGATCCCACATATTGTAGAGCACAGGGACATAACGTTCGTAAATTTTGACATCATTGGACGCAGCGTCACTTGTCTCAATTTTTACCACACCTTTTTCTTCCACTGAACTTTCCATTAGTATGCTTGTATACATCGTGATTGAAACTGCAAGCTTCTTTAGCAATGCTCTTTTGTGGTTTGCCGTCCATCTGACAAAAAAATCTGTTGGACAACTGTCAAACCAAAAAATCTTCTGCATGATTATAAAGTAAAATAAATCTGTATTTTGCTTCACATTTTAAATCAAACAACTACAAAATAAATTTAACTTTTAATGATATCTTTATTTACTGAAATTTGAGTTTCATCTTTAGCATCTTCAGCAAATTCAGTGACCTTTTAGTGGCATAGAGATTCACAAGATGAAAAAATAATAAACTCTTTGCAAAGGTATTAAGCTCAAACGAGGCTTAACATTTATGTGAATATGGCACACCCGTTGAAAATTAATGCATTGACAAAACTGTGCAGAAAGAAAAAAAAAAACCCCACATATTTAGTGCAGGCACAAATGGACACATGTACTGCACAACTGGCCTTTTCTGGCAAAAACAACAGAGCAAAGTCCCCTTCTTCTTAATAACTGCCATAAACTCCAGTCTGAGTTCCTGAAAAAGCGCATTCCCACAGTCAAATTCAGGCTAAAAAAGGGAATCTCTTTCCCTAAAAACATTAATATAAATGTTTAAACCATAGATTTCGGAGGAGCCTCAGTTTTAATATTGGGTTGCTGAATGTGCTCTGCTGATGATTTCACACTTGGAATGCATCACATATACAGATGTGGCACTAAGTTATAAACATGAGGGGAAAAAAAACAAAACAAAACAAAACACACCATGAAAGGTCATGCAAAAACAACCATAAAGTGCTCTGCTTTACCCTGCAGTAATGATGCCTTCCCTGAGAGCCGTTACTGCTTTTAAACTACAGAAACAAGCAGCTTGCAAATTGCTTGTATGAGTCGCTTTTCTGAAAGTGTTTGGCAGAAAGAAAAAAAAAGCGACATCAGATCTTAAATCGCTGCGTGGTGTTAAGGTAAAAATTGGAATTATTTTCTCACATTTTCTGGTGAGACATTTGTCAATTCTGACTGCAGCATTTTAGTCCTGCTGCCACTGTGAAGAGTGTTACCGTGGCAGCAAGCAGGCAGACAATGGCTGTTCACAAAAGGCCTTCTGAATACCCTTCAAAGAGCTGTGTTCATCTCTGACACACACACACACACACACACACACACACACACACACACACACACACACAAAAGGATGGACTGCTCCCTGCACTGCTCAGGCTAAAAGCAGTTATGCTCTGTGATCTTGTTTCTTCTTTCACTTTCAGTACATCACGCTTTGATTAGGAGCTGAGGAGCAAAAGTCCCAAGTTGACGCCTGAAATTTAGGGGAATTTTAACAGTTAGGAGAGTTGTGCTAAATGGATTCTGGTTCTGTTATGACTAAGACGCGTCAGGCAGGCTGGAGTGCGACCTTTGAGCAGAACTTCCAAGGTTGGCTTGGGAACTTTTGTGAGGAAAATTTTATAATGTGCTCCTCACCCCTCTTGTGCTTTAGATTGTGTCTGCATGATCTTATCATGAGACTGGTCAAGCTGCATCTAGGTGTAACTTCCCCAACCCATCCATGTTGGGCTCCCCTGGAATCCTTGGTGCATAACAATCAAACAGTCACACCTATAATCCAATCAAGCCTTTCTTCTCTTTGTTGGGAAATACCCAGAGACGGCGACAACCTGCTGCTATATGACCGGCTGACCAGAAGCTATAAAAGGAAGCCAGAATTCACTGTTAGTCAGAGCAGACTTGACAGACTTGCAAGGTTTTAATATATTTCTTATTTTCTTCTCATCCAGACTCTTGTTAAAGTATTTTTTTTTTCCACAACACTTTTCAAAGGGAAGGAAAGGACTTTCCCAGGACAGGAAACTAGGCACGTGAGAAACATGTCAGCCTAACGGTAGAAGTTCCCTTTTTGTACGACGTGCCTTTTCTTCACAAGGATTCAGATGTTTAAGTGACAGTCAATGAATTTGAAGATCATTAAGACTTCATTTATTTCAATAATTTAATTCAAAAAGAAAAAAAAAATAACTTTGTGTTATGTTGTTTGCATAAGTCAACATCAGTTAATTTACGTACTTACAGGTCATAGCTTGTAAAAACTCAAAATTCTGTTTCTAAGAAAAGACAAAAAAAAGGAGAAACAAATTGATTTTTAAAAGCAGAAATGTGGACCAATGTAGGTCAATTTATTAAAGACTGATGTGTTAAGGAGGCTGAGGTTGCTTAATGGGAGCCTTCAGCTTGCCTGCGTTGTTGAGTCTGGTGTCTCTAATCTCTAATCTTCCTCTTGGCAGTGCTACATATTTTCTCTGGGGGGTTTAGGTCAGATGTTGTCTTTCTTGGCTGCCGGCATTTTGGTCACTTCAGTTGACTGTATTCAGTAAAATAAAGTCTTTGGTTACGCTTATAGTATGGTGGTTGTTATTTAAATTTCGTCTGCTCTTTTAGTCCCTTATATCCCTCTCTTTAGCAGTAGATATAGTCGAGGTAAAAGATTTCTGGTGTCTCTTATTCAGAGGTGGCTTAAAACAAGAAAGGCAGTTGTGGCACATGTTCGGCATACATCTGTGAGCGGTTGCTCTTAATAACGCACTGATTGCAGCCAAAGTCCATCCCTTGCGAGACACAACGAAAGGTTAAATTAACTTTGCTTCACAAGGAAATCAAGGCAGTTGCCTGTGCACCGTTTTCCTTCCACTTAACTTTCCATTAATATAAATGGACCCCACATTCTATCAAAACCCAGCTTCTTTAGCAATAAAATTTTATGGCTTGACCTTGCGTAAGGTGGCAATGACCATCTGTTGGGCAAATGTTACCCCTTTCACTTGTGCACTTTTTTTGTTTTACCATGTGTTATCCTTCCACTCAACTTTCACTTAATATTTGGATATCTCATTAGCAATTATCTTTTGTGGCTTAGCCTCCCTGTGAAGGGAGTTGACGCCAGAAAATCCTCTTCAACATCACTAAGTCATAAAATAAGATGTTAAACTGGTTTATGTAATATTAAAATTTTCCGAGAAACTAAATTGTGTATTTTAAACATCTAAATAAACCAAAATAGACACTAGAAATATAACACTCTGTATATAATGAATCTGTTTGAACTGAACTACTGAAACAAACATCCATTTTGATGATATTCTAATTTTCTGAACTGAACCTGTAGTGCACCAAACTGTCAGCAATCAAACCCTGCATTTGCATTTTCTCTTCAGGTAGATATTGGCACCTTTAATTCGTCGACCTTGTCTGCCAGAGCTCCCACGTGTACTGCTAATAGCAGGCTGATTCACCGCACACAAGACATGCCTCCTCACAGATCCTCTGCTTCCAGCGCCCACACAGCAGCCCACTGCCACTGTGGCGGCATCAACACTTGTGAATGTGCAGAAACATCTCCACGGCTTTATTTCCTCTAAAGCATATGCTGAGGGATTTTTTTTTTTTTTTTTTTTACACTTGCATGTTATTTCTTCCTCGTTTGTCTGCTAAACTAATTCAAGAAAGTCAAAGATTTAGATTGAACTAAATAAGAGGGGGTGTTTGCAGTATTTTCACCAAGCCATTTTGTTTCATCTGCATGAAACATCTGCATGTCCTGAGGAAGGAAGATTTGACATCAAAACTGCCCCTTTAAACTTCTATGGAGTCCTTGGAGTGAATAAAAACAATTAGTGGAGCTCAAAAATGCCAGAGAAAACATCTGGGGCTTCTCTAAGTCATCTCCTCCCTTCTGTGTTTTCAAAAGGGAGTGACCAGCTTTAGTCTGCAGGCACATATTCTGTGTTAAAATAAAACATCATGCAGTGTTTCGGTTTATTTTTTCTTTACAAATGTTCCCTTTCCAGACTGCAAATTTTAGCAACTGATGGGACATCCAAAACCATGTGTTACTACACACTTGATTCAGAAACACCCTTATAACAACATTCCTCTGCGTGGATTCTTGTTTATTTGATCACCACGTCCTTCCTCCCTTCCTCCTGCCCATAGGTAAATATAGCTCGCTACAGTTTGGTCGCTTGTTACCTCCAAGATGGATCGACAGGACTGTTGCATCCTGTCACACAGACTCAGTCTGCATTGAGCGCTGGCACGTTGTTAGAATTAGCACGTCTTTGTTTTCAGTTTGCGACATTTCCACATGACACGAGACATAACATGACAGTCCGTAAACGAGAAAGATTAGAAGAATTAAATGTGATCACATTACAGATCACAGACTGAATGCAATGCCATACCTGGTTTTATTCCATAAATACTCTCTCAGTTTGGGGAAAAAAAAAAAATCGCTTCTTCCTTAGACTTTTACATGGCGGCGCGCGTTGCAGGCGTTTTTCTTCCTCTTCCAGACAATAGACAAGATGATGACCCCTGATGGTTTGGGCTCTGCTTGGCAGGACAGAACCCTTTCCGTGGAATGAGGACCGCAGCCTGCCGCTCTCCAGTCACCGCGGCTCCTTTACTCACTTCTACAGGAGTCAATGTGGCAGCGATACCGAGCTACAACATCCGGTTAGACTTTTCAGAATAATTTGGTTTGAATTAAGCTAGTACCATATAAAAAAAAGTAGGCATTTCCGGGATTATCTCAGTGAATCAGAACATACTTACAATTAGAATATTACAAAGAAGCAAATAAATAAATAAATAAATAAATAAATAAATAAATAAATAAAAAAGCATAAATGTTACATTTTGATCAAGACTGTCCAGTTGTCCAGTTATTAACACTCTCTAAAAGGAGGATATGCCACTATGCAATTCAAGCATAACAATGGAAAGTTAAGTGAAAGGAAAAGGTGTGGTAGAAAACTCATACTGAAATTTGACTAGAACTATCACACTCCTGGTGTTAAACCCCTCATGAACCAGAGATATTGTCAGAAGCATCTCGGCGGGGAAAAGCTGAAAAGGGATGCGCTTTTAGGTCAGAGTTACAAACTCCGCTTTCTAGATAAAGTAAATTTATTTAATTTGGAAACAAATGTTCTAGAGTCTGAAACAAGAGTGGAGAGATGAAGAATATAAATTATATAGAGTCCAGGTTCTCAGACCTTCATGATTTGTAGAGGCATGTCATCTGCTGTATCCATTCTGATTTCTCAAGGTCATACATAGTCAGCTCAGCCATCCGCTAAGGAATTTTATCACTTTATTCATTCTTGTCAAATGTGCTCAGAGTCTATTCAGTCTGTTCTAACTACACTGTGACTCTTCAGTTAGAATGCCTTGAACCTATAGGAGAGTTCTCCATTCTCCATTCCCTCCTAACATCGCTGGAACTTTGTAAATACACAAGAGTAGCTTGAGCTGGTGGAATGAAAATCTTCTTAGCCGAAATGTTTGAGAAATGCTACTTTCTTTAACTTACTTTAACAGATGCTTTTTGTAATTTCCTAAGGTTGACAGTCTGCCGTCTTTCTATTCAGTTAGTGATAAAATATCTCACTGAGAAATAGGACACTCCTTCAAGAGAAACAAAAAAGAATCATTACTTCCCATTGAGTCTTTTCCTTGGTGTAAAACTATCTGACTTAATGGCTATTCAGAATTAAACCAAAAAACAATCTGGAAAATTCATTCAACATAACATGCATGGGTTTGTACTGTGGGAGGAATTTTGGAAAAGAGTACCATGTATGTAGAAACACCCCAGGTCTCAGGTAACAAAGGTATCTGTGCCAAAGTTCAGCACATATATTGGAATAATGACTTCATTATATCATTAAATGATATAATGGATATATCATTAAAATATCCATTTTAATATATGGTATATATATATAAACATCAAAAATGGGACAGAGCACTTTGAGCAAAAGTGGTATATATATTTTTTGATGTTTTACATTTTTCTGTTTGTATACATTATGTTGTGCTATTTTAAATGATTATCACTTCAATTTTTAGAGTTATTTTTAATAAAAAGCCCAACTAGGGACAAGTGCTGCGAATTAGCTGTTGCTATTGATGATGCAAACATGGGACTGCTGTTTTATTCAGTTTGTCTATGTCGATGTGTGTCTGTCCCAATCAAATAAACTTTATAATAATATCCATTATGTCATTATAATGATATAATATTGATATAATGAGGTAAAACATATTTTTATCCCGTGTATGGTGTAATTTAGAAAAAAAATCATAAACGCAACAAGAATGGAAATGAATAATAGCAAGGGTCAGTCAGTAAGAATCTGACAGTAATTAAGATTAAATATCTGGCACAGTTTTTTCCCCTTTGTGCAATAGCTGCAATCCTTTTGAAATCATCAGATTTTTACATAATCTGGGTTTCGGTTTCACAGGGTGAAAGTTTTTACTTTTATAGAAGCTCTGATGCTTGTGCTTTTATTTTGAAAACAGAATTGCAGATTTTCCTCTCCCTGTGTGTGCATAGTTGTGTAACTTTAAGCTCTCCATGTGATGCTGAATAAAGAGCCAGTTGTTGGACCCCCTCCCACACAAACGCACCATCCGCTGAGCAGGACCTGACCTCGGGATGGAAGCAGGGAGAGAGAAACAGAAAAAAAGAGTTACCAGATTCACTAAATCAGACCCTTGAAAGTAGACGCTGTTGCAGATTTTATAAAACTCAAGAGGAGGGGGAAGTTCTTCCTGCAATTCAAAAAGTCAACAATGCCCGCACTTTCGATTCCGTGGGAATCCAAAGTGTTAAGAAATGCGTGTTTCTGCGTTTTAGCGGATCAGATTATGCTTGTCTTTGTGACTTGAAAGAATTTCACTTCACCAGGCAAAAGACAGAAATGATCTGAGCTGTCGTCCTGCTTTGCAGATCCAAAACAAAGGCACCATCACAATAAGCCGCATTGTTAAATTAAAGAATGCAGTTTCTATCCCGGGTACTATTACCAAGACATAATAAGAAGAATAAGTTCTGAACTTCTAACAAGATTATTGATGTATTTCCAGCCTTAGCAAAATAGTCGCTGCACATTCCCATGTTTAACCAAAGACTATAGAAAGTAAATATTATGAAGTCATCGTGAATAGACTGCTAATTCAGCTTGTGGAAATGGATTGTGAGACACACGCTGTGATCCAACATGTAATTTGCAAAGTCAATATCTTTGTTGTGTTTCTTTTTGCTGTTATAAATGTCCAAATCAACAGTAATTTTGCCACTTTTTGAACTTTTTTTTGTTGTTTGTTTTAGAAATCCCTGAAAAAACACCACACTTTAGATAAAGGTTTGGTTTTACTTTCTTTTAGACAGTATTTTGAAGTTTAATTTCTTATGCAGAAAAGTTTTGATTTTGTCTTTTTAATAATAGTTTGTAGAATAAAATTAATATTGGCAAATTTGGGTTATTTCTGCTTCTTTATGCATTTGTTATACTCAATTAAATGATCAGTAAATAGACCTTGGGGTGATTGGGGTGATTCTCATATTCTTGTGAATTTCAATTAAACAGTAATAAATGTCTCGACTGCAGTAAAATAAATTTTAAACCTGAGAAAAATCTAGGATTCTCTTTGCTTCTTTAAATTTTGTTTTAGAATCTGTTCAGTATGAAGCCTAAAATCCATCCCTCAAAGTGAGTTTGATAAATAATGAGTCAAATAAGATTGAATGATTTATGTGCATTCATAAAAGATTTAAGTAGCTAATTAGTGCTTCACATGTAAGTGTCTTAGCTGCAAAACAGTTTCTAGAAATTGTGTTCTGGGTATTTTTATGTAGCGTCATCTATCATGAAGAGGAAAACTAAAGTTACAAGACACAGAAAGAAGGACTCACCAGGACACCATTCACAAAAGTACATCCTCATACCCAGAGAAATTTAGAAGCAATTTGCTTTTACATTATGCTTATTTAATGCAGCAACAAACACTTCAAGGAAGTTAAAACGATGGATAAAAAATGTTAATTATGAAGGAAAAATAAAAGTGAATTTCTCCTTTTACACCGTTTTCTACAAAGCAGCTTGGGAACTGTCATTTGTTGTGCTTATTCTAGTGAAATGTAGTATAAAACAAGACAAAGAAAAGCCCGAACATTTCCGTCAAGTTCAAAACTCCAAAAAATCTAAAAAAAAAAAAAAAAAAAATCCAGTAAACCCAAATTTGCTTCGCAACAAACTACATTTCCCAGCATGCAAAGTACATCCAGGTTGAAAGGTCGTCGACGTCAAACTCATGCTGCCTGAAAAACTAAAACAACAGCTAAATTAGCTAAACGTTACCATTTCGGAACCAGTGCACACGGTATTAAAGACGTTTTGTTTGCTCTGTATAGTTGCTCTAGTTTGTTTCAAAGTAAAAATGTCTGGAAAGGCGAAGGAAATCTTACAAATGGACCTGTATGGGTTACTCGGCATTGAGAGCTCAGCCACAACGAAAGAGGTACGTAAAAGGAGGAAGCTTTAAAAACAAACCAGTTCTACTAGCATATGATGAAATACATGTGAAAGGTGCTTTTGCTATTTTTAACTTAAAGGGCAAACTATAAAATAGTATTCCTATGATGCAGGTAGGCAGACTCTGTTTATGTGCCTGACTGAATGTATTCATTTGGTTTATCGCTGTAAAAATAGCACAGTTACAGTGCCTCTTACCAATTAAGATAAATGTCATGCAGACAGCATGAGGGGATTAACTCAAGAATGACCCGACAAAATAAAAATTAAAGAATCAGCCAGTAAACATACAAACCAGCTAGATGCTGAACCTCACAACTGCACTAATCTAGAATGGCCACTAGATGGAGACGTCGCGGCAGGTATTTTCTGCGTAATAATTGTTGGCAAATATGAGAAAATAAAATAGTAAAACAAAACAAATAGTAAGACAATCTAATGCAATTAAGGTGATTCAGATATTTGATAGACATCGTTTTGCTCATTAGAGTATAAAACAGTTTTAAAAGTCTTCTCACTCTTGCATATCATAAGCTTTCTTTTTTTTCTTCATAATATACATTATTAGTTCAAGAATGGATTTGAGGTCATTAAGCTTCCCTCTTTTACCATGATTTGCTTAAACTTTAATCACGGTCTCAGAGAAGTTGACCACAATGTCCTTAATACCGCTTTTTCCATCCACCGCCACATCTCTCCAAAATCCACCGGCCTAAACAACGAGGAATTAAAATTACTGCCAAAAGAAGGGAAGTAGTTAATTTCTTAATTGGATTTCAAAGTGTTCTCATTCCCAGAGGATTATCCTTGAGGAAGTCGGTGGTTGTGGCTTGGGCAGAGCTGAAGCCCCAAAATTTAGAGCGGTGACTCTCTGCGGTCTGTTGATGGTTCAGAGAGATAGTGGGATTGTGAGTACGTGCGCTGAATAAAATCAGAGGACTCGCACAAAAATCAATCAAATGTGTGACGACGGATGTCATCAGACACTTATCCCAGTTGTTTGGCCTGCGTCCTCATCTCTCTCTAGGCAGGCTGTTAATCAGGGAGAAAGGGAAGAAACTCATCCCAAAGTCTGTTTATGTGGGTTGTCACATAAACAGGCATTACGTAAAAGCCGTTTTTTACAGACTGTAAAATATTGCTTTGACGCAGGAGTATTGCATTGAGTGCATGTCTGCAAAACCTAATTTTTTAAATCCATTTCTTATATCACTGTAGCTGAAATTGTGACGTAATTTGATATTTAAGAAAAGCTAGTGAAACTTATAAAATCTTATGATTTAACAGCTGCAAATAACTGGGCTGATTTCGGGTAGTGGGGAGGAAAAACCACCAGAGTTGTACCTACCGCAGATTGCAAGGTAAAGACATGTCAACAAGTGGGACCACACAGATGCTTATGTGGTTTATTCCGCTTCTATCATTTTAATAAACCTTTTACTTAATGAGATGCAGCATGAAGCAAAAACATGCTCGTATAACTTACTCTTTGACAGACCTTTTAGGTGCACAATTCTAGCTGTTCTTGTACAAGGCTGTTCCTGATACAGGGACTTGCAAAAGTAATCCCACCCTTAAAACTTTTCCACAATGCCAAGATATTGCCCTAAATTTCAGTGAATTTAATTAGGATGTTATGTCTTGGACCAAAACCTTTTTAGCCAGGATATAAAACATTACTTTGTGTTCTCTTTGTCCTTAGAAGCTTGTAGAAAATAAAGCGACAATCGTGCCTAAACTGGAAATTCTGACCATGAAAGTTGGATGTCGCCATGCAGCCTTTCCTCCATTGCCACACTGTCATGGTGATAGACACAATGAAAGTTAAAGGTACGAGGTTTTTCTTACAGTTTGCCTCTCTCTAAATCATTGGAACGCAGAGTGGCATAAAGCCTATTATTGGACATCTTCCTTTAGTGTTTGTATCCATAAAAGGCAGCTGTTGTAGAAAACGCATGGTCTGCATCACCATGAGCACACATTGCTCACAGTTAAACATGGTGATGATGGCATCATGCTGTGCGGAAAGACAAGCAAGCTGGTCAAACCTGTTCCAGGCTGCAATAGATTTGAAACAACAGATAAATTAGAGCATATTTATATATTAGAATGGCCCAGTAAAAGTCCAGACCTAAATTCGATTGAAGATGTGTGGTAAAAGTTGAAAATTGACGTCCACAGATGCTCTCTAACAATCTGATAAAGGCCAAGCTTTTTGAAAAAGAAAAATGAGCAAAAATTTATAGTTTCTGAATGCACAAAGCTAGTTAGTAAAGACATGCGGTTCTTCCATATTCTTGCAGTTTTGTTTGGAGAGAAAGATGCTTCTACAAAGCTGACTATCAATGCTCACTACACTTTCAGATGTATATTATTTAGAAGGTTTTGGAGGAATTTGTCTGGAAAAAAAAAAGCTTTATCTGTGTTCTTAGCAATACAATAAACCTGTTTGAGACATTTAGAAGAGTACATTTTTAATTGAATTGTGCAGACTGTGATTAGTCCTTTTTTGTTGTAGTTTTGCACTGAAGTTGTGATATTTGCAAATCACCCTAAAACTAAGCTTGCTTTTTCTTTATAAATGTTTATTCAGCAATGATCTGGTAGCATGGATGTACTTCTACAGGTTGATTAAAGAAAACTGTACCAAAGAGAGCAAAGTCTGATTATCCATTGAATCAAATATCCAAGCAGAACAGAATTGTGAACAGAAATCCAAATTTGCTTCCAATCTTTCAGCCTGTCTGTATTCCTTAATTTTATTACGTAATTATCCAGTATTTTGTGTTCTACTACATAAAATACCAATAGAATACATGGAATTTTGTGGCTTTAATGTGCCAAAAAGGGTTATGAATATGTGGAACGGACTGTAGATCTTTTATAGATTGTCTGTTTTTTGTAAATGGATAAAGATTGCTAGGAAATATAATCTGTGACTAATACTCAATTTCAAAAGGACACTTTTAAATGTGCATATCCTCCTGAAATGATCAAGTGAAACTAAAGAAGAGTTATCCTCCATATCGCTACCATAATTGGATTTCACAGAGCAGAATGAAATGCTTTCACATTTTTTTTGGACATATTTCAGAAAACCTCTCTGTGCCTGAAATGATTCATAGTATCAGACTTTTACTTGAAGTTTTACTATTTTGCTTGCACATCATAGTATCTTGCTGCAATAGTCCATGTTTTAGTTTTCCTCTTCTACAGGGTTTCTAAAAGGTAAAAGGATGTCAGTGTTGAAAAGATGGCAAAAACTTGTCAAGAATTTTGTTTTGCCACTATCCTGTCACCTTAAATATTACATACTGAAACACATATGGACAGTGGTGCAGATGTTGAATAAATTGTAGTCGTGCACAAATGAAGATTCAGCTCAATAAGCAGGTGGAAAAACAAGAGAAGAGTAAATTCCCTCCATCACTGAGGATAATGCTTTCAGTTTTCTCATGCTCAAAAACAAAGATTGATGTTCTTGACTGCTGCAACTTCACATAATTATCTTCTGGAAACTCCAACATATTTGTCCTTCCACATACTCCCTCCAAATGGTTTATTCCACCTGTCCTGCCTCATTGAGGCTTTTACATAGCTAAAAGTATTGCAGAAATGTACTGAGAAATGTCAAAAGATGTACTTTCATGTTCATTTCTGAGTTTAATAAAGCAAATAAACCTTTATTTGCTTTATAAAGCAAATAAAGGTTTGCTTTATTTGCTTTATAAAGCAAATAAAGCTTTATTTATTTGCTTTATAAATAAAGCAAATAAATGCTTTATTTGCTTTATAAAGCAAAATAAAGCACTTGGATTAAAGTTTACGTTTAATCCAACGTAAACTTTTATTTACGTTGGATTCAAAACTAGTACCAATATTGAAGAATGTGCAGCACACAATTTTCTCTAAAAAGTTTGACACAACAATGCAGAATTACTTTTAGCACAAGATCATTTTGGTTCTGTTTAGGACATTTACTTCATGTCATAAAAGTGAAATTTATATAAGAAACCTGTTTGCACTCATCCTCCCTCTGTTCAATAATACTCCTTTCACAATTACTCTTTCTTCTCTGCTATGTTCTTCTTCTGGCTGCTATCTCCCTTCAGCAAATAATTGCCCCTAAATAGTGGTGTATAGCAATTAAGAGGGAGAGTCCCATGGCAGTGAGGCAGCTTATCAGCCTCAGAGGTTCTGCTGTGGCTGCGATGCGGCTAGGACACTCAGCAGCAGTTTGTCAGCAATCATTTGGCACCAGGGACGAGTAATGAGGACAAGATGTACGGAGGAATCAGTGCGGTGGAGACTCAAACCATTTGGCTACTGTTGGCTTGCTGCTGCAGGATTGTTGTCTTCTCTTGATCTTGTGACTTATCCTTCCACAAACTCGAGCGTGGGAAATAGTTCAGCGATTTCCTTCGTTTAGTTTCTCGCATTTGAAACCCAGAACATTGGGATGTTACAAGGAGTAGTAGTGGAGGAGTAGTAGAATGCAAATTATGATCAATATTTATTATTATTATTATTATTTTATTTTATTTGCATGCTTTCAGGATTTCTTGGTCCTTTTAAAGATCAGTAAAATCGAACCAAAAGATGACCAAGAAAGTTGTATTAGAAGATGCAATCCTGTCTGAGCTGATTATTTATTTCTAGGTTTTTGAGCCAATGAGGTTCAGTCTTATATTCAAGCCTGCTGGCACTTATGGGAGCTACGGTGTCTTGATGAAATATGAAATGATATTTTAGAGAAAAAGAAATGGGAGGAGGAGGAAAAGATGGCGAAATATGACAAGTATTTAGAATGCAAATAAATAAAATCAGACAATGATTTGGAAATGTGTTAAAATTGTAAAATTATGGCTTTCTTTACTACATTTAGAGCTGATGTTAAATATTATGTTCAGAAATGTGCAAATATTTCCTTTAATGCATACATGATTGATATTTTGTGTTGAAAACCGTGTTTATTCCACAAATTAGCCAGGGAAAATAAACTCAGGAAAAATTAAGGATTAAAAAGTTTTTTTTATTTATTTATTCAAGCATCAGTTGTGTTGTGATAACAAAACCAAGGAACATATTTATTAAATGTTACTGCAGTGTGAAAAATGTGAAGCAGATTCAAACACAAAGGACAGCAAAAATATAAAGTGGAAGAAAAATAATGCATGGTATTCTAATTAGACAGAGCATTTTTGTCAATTTCTCTGCATCATTCCTCAAAATCAGTCAGACTGGATGGGGTGGATCTCGAGTCGTGAGATGCTTCCCAGTTGTACTTTGACTGAACCCATCCAACAAATGAATATGCTTCAATTTATCCATTCCTTCGTATCTCCAGCTGTATCTTTTGGGTTACAGCCCTGCTGGACGGTGAACCTGCCCCCCAGTTTCTGGTCTTTTGTAGCCTTTGCAGCCAGGATTACACTATGTTTATCTCCATACATCTTACAATCAACACTGAACATCGTATCTGTCACTGCTGATAAATATCAAACCCCCAGACATTCTAATAATTAATATTTCAAATACCAAACATAACTTACTATGTATTAATACGCAATCATCTTAGCAATTCCACAGAAACTAACATCCATGTTCTTCATTATTTCCCCTCTTGGGGTTACAGCAAATAAGCAATAAAAAAAAAAATAATGGCACCCCTTGATTGGCTGCCTTGCAAATGCCCGCCAAAGGCTTCAGCTTCTCAAACTGCTTTTTGTCTTGAATAATTTAGTTCGATTTACAGGCAAATCTGTAAATGATGCAAGTTTTCTATGAATAATTTAGAGTTATGTTACATAGAAAAATCCGCAACTGGGTTAATCTACAAATACTGAACCACAAATAGGTAGGGGGTCCACGGTGTAGTGTTTCATCCACTTTAGAGTTCTGCCCCGTTTTATGTTGGTCTGTCACAACAAATCCCAAAGTAGTTTGGATTTTGTCACGTCACAAAATGTGAAAAACCTCAAAAGACAATGAATGTGTTTGCGAGTCAGACTTCTGACATTGATTAAAGGAAAATAGAGCAAGTTATGAATAAATTGTAATTATTTATTTCAAAGTCTACAAAAATTTTAGGACCACAGATTGCCTTCAATCATTACTTTTGTTGCTGGAAAAAAAACACTTTATTTTTTGTAGGGTGTGGCGAATGCATTCAGAGCACAGACTTTGGTTTTTTAACTTGCTCATATCTTCCTAAAAGTGTTTGGAAAATTTTAGAAAGAGCTATAATTGGAATTATAAAGCAAAGAGTGAGGAGAGACAGATGGAGAGAGGCTGAAGCCAAAGACCGGAGCCAGAACTGAAGCACTGGTCTGCCAGTTTTAGTTTTAGGATGATTATTTGTACCAGACAGAAATTACTTAGTATTCTTTTATAATACCTAGTACCTGAACATCCTGAATGCAAATATTCACTTTGAAGTAAAAAAAAAAAGGAGACCTGTTGATATCATTGAAACTTAAGGCCTTGTGCTTTGTACAGTCCGTATCTGTCTGTCGTGTCTGTCTGGGACTCATTTAGGTTTTTGCTAAAAATGCCGCATGTTACCACATTCTGCTTTGTTTGGTCAACATTGGAGCTTCATTTGCACAGTAAAGGTCAAGTTGTCCTAAATAACCTACAGGGAAACACTGCAGAGGACAAATGTAAATGTTTCCCAGACACGAAGAAAGGTGCTTCCACTTTTTTCATGGCCTGTAGCGTACTGGCAGGGGATTGATTTATGTAAAAGTTGGGATGGAGCGGGCCGGGGAGTCGGAATACGTGAAAACATGCAGCACATTGGAACCTCTGATTAGGATTTGTGTATTTAAGCTGTTCTCACATGTATGAAGGAATGTACGAGGCAGATCTTTAGCATGCAATGCACGGTATATATCTGAGCACGTGTTGTTGGAGTTGCATGCAGAAAGTCGGAGCCCCTATGGTCTTCACAGAAGCTTTTCCTGCTTTTCCCAGTTGAGGAAACGTCCAATGGGAAGCCCCTCTTAAGTGAAGGGAAAACATAAGCAGTCACCCAGTTTACCCATTATCATCATCTAAAAAGAGCCATGACTCATTTAGAAGAAGTAAAATTCAAGCTTAAAGTTATAACGCTCCACACTTTCCATTGCCTTTGAACTTTTGCTTGAAGTCGGCTCGTCCTGAGAACCTTGACTTCTTCTCTTTCCCGTACATAATCCCTTTTAAGTTCAGCATCATTATTCAGAATTAGCCCTCAAAATCCCATTCGCTTTTTCTTCTGAGAACTCAATAAACTTCTGGCAATTCTAATCCTTTTAATCTATTTTAACTATTATATTTTTGAGTGCTTTTCTTTTGTGTTTACTATGTGTATTACTTTATTTGTAATATTCTTTTGGTTGTTTACTTGGCTGGTTTGTCCAGTTAATCTGTATTGATAGCATTTTCTTGGTTGTATTGGTGATCAGCCCTCATTAAGTTTACCTTTTTTGTTTGGCATGTTAATATTTGCATAGATTTTAAATAGTTTCTAAATCCTAGAAATTTACTGTGCTTCTTTTAATCACAGGAAAGGAAACCATTGCCCCTCGCAGATTTTAATAAATTATGAATGATTGGTTTTTTTATGTATATGAGCCAAAAAAATGGAGCAAACATTTTGTAAATACCAATGTTGCAGGTAAATGTAAGATCAGCATTTTTTGAAAGCAATAAGGATGAAGAAATTAATAAGAAATTGATGTATTCTTCTTTTAACCAGATCAAGAAAGCTTATAGACAGAAGGCACTGACCTGCCATCCAGACAAGAACCCAGACAACCCCAAAGCAGGTGAGGGAAAACTTTTTTATTGTTTCATTTAGTCTGTTTTTGCCTTTTCTGGATTTTCATGCACAAACCTCTATCACTATTCTGAATTATCTGACTTTTAATGAAGATAAGTGTTGTAAGTACACACTGTAGCTACCACAAAACCTTTTTTGTGTTCAGTGATGGAAGGAAATTGATTATTGTATTTGTGAACAACTCATAAATCATCATGGCTGAAGCCTATCATAAACTGGGAGATATACTGAAACAGCAACATCATCATTTCCCTGAACAGTGAGCACCTTAAAACCTAAATATCTGAAGAAAAATTTTGTGGTCATAGAAGGTCAATATTGAAATCTTTGTCCCCAATCATGAGGATATTCTGAGCAGTCAAAGTAACTTTTAGACCAAAGATTAATGTACCAACTTTCAAGAATGGTGGTGGAAGCTTCATTCAGGTGTCGGTTTTGCAGATATCTGAGGTAACAGTGCTCTAGTTAAGAAGTAGAAATTCTAACATAGTGAGGCAAACATCATTGTAAGTTTTACTTTCTATAAAAAAACACCACTTCTTCAGTTTAGAGTTTCAGGCGCCACATGCAACATTGATTTAGATCTATTCTCCTGTGTCTTGAAAAATGCATGTTTCCTCCACATCTTATTACTGTTGATGTGAATAGCAACCAATCTGAAACACAAGTCTATAACTGGGGGTAGTAGTTTCTTCCTGTTTCCCAGTGGTAAATCTGACTTTGGAGGGTGTTGTGGTTGATTTCTTTGCAAATGGGGAATCAGAATTTTCCAGTTTCAAGTACAACTGGAACGCAGCATTAGATGCAACTTGGGCCTTCAACAGGGTGATGATCCCAAACTCTAGAAGAGGTGCTAGAAGAACGGTGTCGCAAAACGTGGTCAAAAATCAAGCCAATAACAATATGTTAGTGTAACATTTAATTACAACATATAACGATATGTTAAAATTCAATTGTATTTGAAAGTCAATTAAAAATGTATGCTCTGTGATTTTTCTACCCTAAAATAACAACAGTTCTAATAAATCAGAATATTAAAAGGTGATATTTTGGCCAAAAAGAAGGGAGATGATTCATCAGGTGTGTATTTAAACTCCTGACAGGAATTATAGATAACCAAATACACACTGGAGTATTTCTAATCAGATAGACAAGCTTGGAAAATCCTCATCAGCACCACAGTTGCCTCAGTTTCTATCCTCTTCGTAGCTGATGAGTCGGTCTGCTCTCTGCAGCAAGGAGCAAAGACTTTCACTGTAGCTTTTTGTCAGTAGGGGGGGTTGAAGCAACTTGCACAAAAAGCTGGTAATGAGGTATGTTTTCAAGGGAGGTTCCTGTGGTTCCTGGATGTTTTAGATGATTTCTGATTGTGACAGGGGAAAAAAAATGGAAATTGGTACGGTTAGGAGGTTGAGAGGAATAGTACAAAAGCAGGGGGTCGGTTTCCCAGAAATGGAAAAGAAGCGGTTTGGAGGGCCTCAACATTTGAACTCACACATAGACAGACTTGGCCTCTCACACACGAAAGCAGAACTTTACTTGGAACTTGTCACCCCCTAAGGGGGCAGCTGTATGCATGGAAAAGGAGACTTGAAGCTTATCATTCTTCACTGATTGAAGATACCCCTCATGAAATCCCTCATTTTTCTCAACCAACCATGTTGTGACACTCTGAGTTGCCTTTTAGGCATGGCAGGTTCCTCCCCACCCCCAGTTGGATTTCAATTGAGCCAGTTATATCCATGGAGGTAACCTGACCGCCTTTGCTAGCACTATCATCTGTTTGTGTGTATTGCCAGTCCCCACAGGGAGTAACAATATCAGCCTGTTGGGCCTTCCATGAGTGAATGATTAAGGTTGGCCAGGATGGTCAGTGGTGTAGGATGAGCCCGGGGAATGTGGTCTCCTAGTGTGTACATTTATAAATGTGGGTTTGTGTTAAGTGACAGCTGGAGTGGAGGGAAACTGAGGATGGATGGAGAGAGGGGAAGACAATTCGCCATTTCTCAGGTTTTATAAGAGGAAACCTCTGGTTTCTTTATATAAATGTTCAGTGCTTTGTCCATAAATTAAGTTTGCACCGTGTGTAGATTTATTCTGTTTTCTTTTCTCTCCTTAGTTGTGAACCATTGACTTGTATGTCTACATTTTTTATCACTTATAAGCCTTATCATGTATTTTTATTTTTGCTGTAAAGCTCACATATTTGCCATTGTCTCTTTCTTACAGCGGAGCTCTTCCATCAATTGTCCCAGGCTCTTGAAGTTCTCACTGATGCTGCAGCCAAGGTGAGACCAACAATGTATTTTTAACCTGTAAAAATCCTCCTGATTCACTCCCACACCATCAGACAGTTCGTACCTGTGACTAACGCTCTTTCCAGGCTGCCTATGACAAGATTCGTGCTGCCAAGAAACAAGCTGAAGAGCGAAACAAGAAATTAGATGATAAAAGGAAGAAAATTAAACTTGGTGAGTAGTTGCTGTTTACTTGTTTTATTAAAGATACTGTAGGGTTAATGAAACAAAGAAACACATTTTTAAAACAACTGGCAGAAACTTAATTTTGAACATATAAGGAATGGACATGAGTCTATTTTTTTTTTTTTTTTTCAGACTTGGAGGCCAGAGAACGGCGAGCGGAGGCTCAGAGCCAGGAGGAAGTGCAAATCACTAGAACACTTGAAGAAGAGGTAAGAATATCCAAAGTGTGTTGAACAGTAAGAATATTTTGTCACATTAAAACCACACAATCAAGTTCATAATTGGAAAGTGGAAGAAAAGTTACACATGGTGTTCAAATGGTTTCTCACACATGAATCCTAAAATTGTGGCATCCATTTTTATTTAGCCCCCTTTATTTTGACAACATCCAACATGACTAGTTGCAGTCAGAAGTCTACTAATTTAGTATATATACAGTAGTTCATCTGTGTGTGATTTATTGTTAATATGAATCCTGCTGTTCTGTGAAGACATGATGGAGGCAAAAACACAGCAGACAGACCAGGGAGAAAGTTTAAAGCAGATATATGATGTATTAAATAACATTCCATATTCCATCACTTTTAAAGACCCACAGTCTTTAGTTTAAGATAGGGAAATATTTGATTTCTCATGCATACTAAAACATATTCATTAAATTAAAATGCCATCTACTTTGTTTTGTGTACTGTGGTACTCCTACATAAATCACATAAAGTACAATATCTATATTCATTAATACAAGCACACACAAAATGATATTTTAAGTTGTTAAAACTGCAAGCAGTGTTTTAATGTTTTGTGTTGATGAGTAGTATTGGGCAAGTTATTAAGTTGTTCAAATCTGGTCGACATGATTTGACATGATGCTTTCAACTGTGAATGAGGTGAAATTTGGTTCTGTAACATATTTTGCCTGAATGTTAAAATGCAAAACACACTAGGAGGATTAAGATTAGTATGGATTTACAAACCAGGTACACTGAAGTCTGTTTCGTTTGTCACAAATTCTGAATAAGTTCTCACAGAAACCTTGAGAGGAGTTAACTGCTCGACATTCAGGAGAGGTTGCAGAAGAAGAAAACTTTGTAATTTAGAAATGGGACAGACCACAGATGCTTACTGGAAATGACTTTTTCTAATGTGTCCAGGAAAGTCTGAAACACAAGCAGGTGCTTTATTCTGTTCTTTGTCAAGTACGTGTTCCTGATTCAGTTTCTAGTTGAGTCATCCAATCACTTGGGGAAAGATCAAAGGCTCAATCTGAGACAATAGTTTTTATAATCTTTGGTTATATTTATCACTAAGACCACTAGAAAATTTAGCATAACTTTGTTCTGACTGGAAGATACAAATGAGAAAGGTGCGATTTTGTTTATGACGAGGAGTGGCATTTGGTACTTAACATGTCTATGTATTACTGTCTTAAAGTGTAAAATCTATTTTTCTTTAAGTTCATAAAAAAAACAGACCGGGACAGAAAACTAGCTCAGCATTAAAATTGCAAAAGATCATAATTTAAAGAAATTCTGTCTACAAAACGTTCATGCAGGTTTGTGATTAACACCGTATTATTTGGGTGTCTGACCCTAAAAGATCGCCCGCTTGAGGGAGGAGGGATCCCGACAACTTGAAGAAGAGCAGAGGCTCATCAGGGAGCAGATCCAGAGAGAAAGAGAAGCACAGCAACAACCAGGAAACTACACTCAGAGAGGTTTGATTTCTTCTTGGATTTAACCATCAGCAGTCTGTTCTTGTCCAGGTTATCATAAATGTATCAGTGTTTTCACATTCTGATGTTATAAATTCAATTTGATCAGCTAGTTGACGTTTTTTGTTTCCAAGCAATCATCCAGCCTGTCTAACCACACTAGCCACCGTTCTGCCTGTGGTTCACCAAATATTATTCAAGCAACGAACAATAACAATAGCTGAACTTGTATGAGAAGAGGTCTATATTAGTTCATTTGGCAGTCACGCGTCTTGGCAAAGTATCATAGGAATACAAAGTGCCAAACGCACGCTCACACACACACACACACGCACACACACGCACACACAGAACTGTCCGTCAGACCTCGTTTCTTTTCCTTCGCTGTTTTAAGCGGCGGAGTCTTCTGGAGATGTAAACCTGACCCTCTTTTGTGGGTGTGCAATTACTCGTTCATCGTCTGTACATACTTTGAGTCCCCTCTGTTTGCACGCACTCAGCCCTCCCCTGTCTCCAAAAGTCAAAAAAATGTACCACATGGGAGCCATTTCTAAGTTGCTGTCTTTCGGCACAAGCCCCTTGACGACTCTCTTGAGTACCATATTTCAATTAAACAGTTGCTCCTTTGTCTTTTTACCTCACTGTCTCAACCGTCTCTAATGCTTTTTCTCACACTCAGGAGGGGAGAGATATTCCCAGAGCAACGTAACCCCAAAACTGAAGGTAAGACTCAACACCTAAGGGCAGTCTGTGGAAATCAGAATGGGGGGCTTGGTATACATTTTACACAACTGTTAGCTGTTTGTAATTTATTGTTCAGAGACCACAAATGCCGTCTCATCACTTAGCACATATGTTGCTCTCACACCACTTCCTCCCGATTAGGCACGATTCTGTCAGGGGACCAATATTTATGCCAAAAGAAGGCTTAATATATTTCCTCCTGGAAATGGCCTGGTTCTGTGCGTGTTAACGGATGCAAGGAACGTTAGCTAATGTGTTTACACCCTAAACCTGGTTCTAGTAATTGAAAGCCATCTAAAGCAGCGGCAATATCCCCAGACTTTTGTATATTCAGCTTGAAAAACAAACAAAAGCTTTATTGACAGGATCCCAAACCACAGTCACAAACACGAGAAAGTCGCAGCAAATGTTAAATGTTCTTTTCTCAGCTTAGATTTCTTGCAAAAGTGTTCTTGAGCTTTTACACATTTTGTGACCTTTTGCCCATTTACTCCAATGGATTTGGGGATTTTCTTTGGACTGAAACAAAGCAGGATATAAAGAGAAGTGGAAGGAAAATAAAGCTTTTCAACTATTTTGTGAAGTAAAGTAGAGATCATAGGTTTTTTTCAGTCTTTATGCAATTTTATTTAAATCTGCACCTGCACCAAACATCTAGATCTATTTTGTCTAAAACTAGGATTGCGTATTTCAATATCCTTTTGAAACCACCCACTAGTGTTCAATGTTTATTTCCATTTTTATTGAAAAATATCATTAATCTTTTAGCAAATCTGAACAATTCATCATTGGCTTTAAAACATTACTATTTACCAGGCTTTTCCACTAATATCTTTACTGTTTGTAAATTTATTTAAGTCATGATCAAAAACAGCAGTTTTGTGGGCTGGAAACATCACATCACACAAATATCTGAGCATCTAATTTAAAGATTAATGGTTAGGACAGTTATTATTAAGCAAGGAGAAAGTTCTGCTGGAAGAGGGAATGTACATTTTCAGCGATAATTATTGTAAAAATGCTACATGGATATGAAAATTCCCAGAAAATGTGTTTCTTTGACAGTGAGCAGATTGCTGGAACTGAATCAACCCCCTGTGCTTGCCATTCATTATGCTGCTCTCAGCAGCAGTTGCCATAAAACTGGCCGGTTTTCTGCTGTGGTTTGTCTGTGAATATGAGACGTTGTACAATATCACTTTTTTTTAAAGGAGTACGGGAACTCATTTCAGCATTTAGTGACAGGACCTGAGAACAGAATAAAGAAGGAAAAAGTATCCTAATAGATTATGTTGCCTTCTGTGGTCGCTTTCATGCCGAATTGAATTTTCAAGAAGATTCCGTAGCAGTAGAAATTTCCCATATGTAAAAAGACACGCATGGGGATCAGACTCTGTAGGAGTGGATGGTGAATAATCGGTGTTCTGGTGAGACTTGGTCTAGCAGGTGACTCACCAGTTTTTGATGCACACATCCTTAGGAGATCCCTCATTCCTGCACCAACAGGTATGGATGGAAATTGGCTACAGGTTTTTCAGAGCTTAAAAGATTCTTCCTCCTGTAGGTGATGCTTTTCTAGATGTTTTTTTTTTTTTTTTTTTTTTTTTTTGTAATATAACACGGGCTAAAAAAATTTT